TCTCTTCTGACATCCATTTTGGTCTTTTCTTCCTCTTCTGTCTTTGTAATGACCGTTTGCACTCTTCCTGGATGATACCTTTGACATCCTCCCATATAATTAGAGGACAGTGAAATAAAGGATGAGCTCAGCATATTGGTGGGAACTAAAGGGCTTTGGTGGCACAGTATATAGTGCCTAGCTGTTAACCCAAAGGTCTACAGCTCAAATCCATCAGCTGCTTTGCAAGAAAACATGTGGCAATTAGCCTCAGTAAAGATTATATAACCAAGGAAACTCTATGGGGTAGTTAAGGTGAATTCTCAATGGTCTATAAGCTTCAAGTTTTTTAAAAGTCCTAGTTAACTGACTAGGGAGCTTGGGTGGCTTGTTGTTAGGTGCTGTCAAGTTGAGTATGACTCATAGTGACCTTTTGAACAACAGATCTGAACTTTGTCCTATCCTGTGCCATTCTCATAATCTCTGACACACTCAGTCCCATTGCTCCAGTCACTGTGTCAACCCAGCTGGTTGAGGGTTTTCGTTTCCTTCAATGTCACTCCACCTTTCCAAGCATGCTGTCCCTCTCCAATGAACAGACTCCACTAGCAACACGCCCTGACACACCTCTTGGCTAATTTTAAACCATGCAGTATTCCCTTGCTGTTTGTACTACAGCCTCTTGGTCTAGGTATAGATTTTGCACCAACACAATTAAGTTTCTGGAATTCTTATTCAATGTTAGCCATAATTTCTTACTACACATTTCTTTCCACACAAACTTCTTTGTCAATAAAACACAGAGATACATTCTTCTGGTATTTCTTGCTTTCAGTCAGGATCTATCTGACCTCAGCAATGATATCTCTAGTGCCATGGTCTCTTCGAAATCCAGCTTGGATGTCTGGCAGTTCTTTTTCAACTGTTGTAGCCATTTTTGAATGATCTTCAGCAGTATTTGGCTTGTGATATTAATGATGCTGTTGTGTACCAGAGTCAGATCCAACCGATAGCTGACCTCCAGCAGGTTTTCAGAGGCAGTTAAGTGCACAGGAGACTGCCTATCCTTCTCCCACAGAGCAGCTAGTGGCCTTGAACTGCATGCCTTCGTGCCTTCAAGAAGCACAGCTAGGTATTGCTCAATAATGTCCACATTCTCTTGGATCACCTTTCTTGGGAATGGGAACAAACATGGATTTCTTCCAAAAAGCCGTCTTCCAAATTCCCTGGCATACATGCGCATTTCCAGGGCTGCCATTTGTCCCACGAAACATTTTAATTGGTATTCCATCAATTCCTGGGGCCTTACTTTTTGCCAATACCTTCAGTGAAGTTTGAATTTTTTCCTTCATTTTCATTGGCTCCTGATCAGATGGTATTTCCTGAAAATGTCAGTGTCATCCAATGCTTTTTGAAACAGTGACTGTGTATTCCATCTTCTTTTGGTGTTTCTTGGTTCATTCAAAATTTTGCCCTTGTTGGTGTTGTGTGCCATCAAGGCAGAATCTGCCCATGGCTGACCCTCAAGAGGATTTTTTTTTTCCTACTAGTTTATTTACAAAATTTGAACAAATTCCATTTCCCTCACCCCCATCATCCATTAAATTGTACAGTCCAATGATTGATCCCCCCTCTTCTCCCTGCACATCCACATCCGTCTCAGGAGACTGCCCATCCTTCTCCCATGGAGCAGGTGGTGGACTCGAATTGTGTGCCTTTGGAACTGCAGCACCTCTTCTTACCACCATAAATTCTCCCCAATGTGCTAGCCAAGCTGGGCCCCTGAAATGCCATCTCTTCCTCCTGAGGATCATTGAGCAGGCGGCCAGAAGTCTTCCAGAGCCAGGGCTCCAACTCAGAGCTCCTCATACCTGGTTCAGGCAGCAAAACACATGAAATGTGTCTAGCACTGGTGTCATCATGTCTTCTGCTGGGGAAATAACATACCTAAGTATTCCAACTAGAGGCTTGGTTTTATTTTTATTAGTTTTTTCAGCTTGAGAAATGCTGAGTGGCTTCTTCCTTTTTTATTCTGCAATCCTAGGTCCCTGCACATGCCCATATAGTAATCTGCCTGAGAAAATTATTAGAGAAGCTCTATTCTATGAAGAAAAATGAGGCCTCAGGATAGGAGGAAGACTTATCAATAATCTTCATTTTGCAAGTTATACAACCTTGCTTATTGAAAGTGAGGAAAACTCAAAGCACTTGCTGCAGAAGAACAAAGACCAAAGCCTTCAATATGGATTGCACCTCAAGGTTGAGAAAACAAAAAGCCACTGGATGATTAGGAAACATCAGAATTGATGTGAAAAAGATTTAAAACTGTCAACAACCTCATCTTACTTGGATTCACAATTAATATACTTGTACTGGCAGTATGGAGATCAGGAGACGTATTATGCTGGGAAAATCTATAGTCAGGGACCTCTCCAAATTCTTGAGGAGCAATGATGTCCATTTGAGGACTAAGGTGCACTAATGTAGGTCATGGCCTTATGGTCACTGCTATGTATCTGAGATCTGCACAATGAATAAGGAAAACAGAAGAAGAACTGATATCTTTGAGTTGTAGTGTTGGAAAACAGTACTGAATATCCACAGATTGTCAAAAGAACATACAAATATGTCTTGGAGAAGATGCAGTCAGAATGTTCCTGGGAGGCAAAGATGACATAATTTTTTGTCTCACATACTTTGGGCATGTTGTCAGGAGAGGGTATTCATTGGGGAGCGGCATCATTCTCAGGAAGAGAGAGAAAACAGTAAAGGAGAGGAAGACCCTCAACCAGGTAGATTGACATGGTGTCTGCAGCAATGTGCTCAAGTGTGTTGAGGATTGTGAAGATGTCATAGGATAGGACAGGGTTCAGATCTGTTGTTTACAGGGTCACTATTGGGTCATACTGAACTTGACAGCACCTAATAACAACAACAAGCATCTATCATGATGTTGACTTTCCATTAAGTAGTGAGAATTTTTGTTTTCTTGATATTGACATGCAATCCACTACAAGGTTTAACCTTCTGCAACAAGTGCTTCAAGTTTTCCTCATTTTCAGGAAGCAAGGTTGTATCATCCACTTACAAAGGTTACTGATGACTCTTTCTTCAATCCTGCTGCCATGCCAACTGCACAGTACATACTTCAAATCCACAAGATGCACCATGGGAGAAATATTGGCAGTCTGCTTCTATGCAATCAAACGCATCGGAAACCCACTGGAGGATCAGCTATGGATTGAATCCATCTAATTCAATTGAACACAATGCCTGTAAAGTGACTAGAACTTAGTGAAGTATGGAGGTGTGCTGCTCGCCTAAAGGTGATACCTTTCTGGTGGTATGAATCTTTTAGGAGCTTCAAGTGAGAAAGACCAGCTCTAAGAGAGAAAAATCTCTTTGCTTGAGATTTACAGCCTACTAGACAGTCAGCTACGACTTAATTCCAACTCAATGGCAACGTGACGGAGTTAAATGATGGAGGAGGACTAGCAATAGACATGGCTTAAGAGTAGATGCCACAATGTTTCCTCAATCAAATTACATTTAAATTTACTATGTCCTTATGACCAGCCCGAATTACATGAGCAACCCATATATAATATCCAGGGCTGCCACATAAAAGGTTAGCAGTTCAAATTCACCAGTGGTTCCAAGGGAAAAAGCCAGGCTGTTTCTTCCCCATAAAGTCGGACAGCCTCTGAAACTGAATTGAGGTTCACTAGGAACTGACACAAGGGTAGTTTTATGTGCTTATTAAAATAGGAATTAAATTTATTTTAAAAATAGGAATAAAATTAAAGCATGTGTTATAATATATTCAGAGGAAAGCATACAACGTGAAATCTATTTCTTATGCTTGTTCATGTTTCTTAAGAAAACAATACTTCAATTTGAAAAAAAAAACTTCAATTTCATGAACTGGAAACATGTTTAATATAAAATGGTGATATTCTCAAACATTACTTCCACATTAATTTAGAAAAATGAATTTTAAACAATCTTTAAAACATGATAAAGGACAGTGGTATCTTTGACAAACATATAAATGAAAAAGTTAAGAAATCACAAGAAGGTGTCATATAGGTGCTGTACCCAAAATTAGATGTAAAACTTAATTAAAAATAGTTGCCTAAAAATGTACCCCACATAACACACATAAATTAGGAATGAATTATGCAATTATAACCACATTTATATGTCATCTCCAAAAGACAAATAACTTCAACAATATAAAGATAATGACATGATTAATAAAAGCTTAAGGACACTCAAGTTTAACCAACAACTTCAATTCACATGATTTTGAAATAAAATGTTCAGTCTTTTTAGCATTATCCTAAATTTGTTTTACCGCCTTAATATACAGTAACAATGTAAATTCAAGAGATGTTTAAAACAAATTAAAATTTAAAAAGACCACTTTTTCTTATCTGAGAAAACACAATACGTGACTTGGTCTCCTTCAAAATATTCTTTATAATGTGAAGAATAAATTTGAAGGTTCTCAAGTGTTTAATCAGATAAACTAGATCATCATTACAGGAATTCAGTAAAAAGAAATTAAGCTATATGGGGATCATACTTCTCTAAAACCTACAATTTAAAAACATAACAATGAGAACAATCTGGTATTGCAGATGAATACTGGGTAAACAGCTAAAAAATTACACCATGCTAATAATAAATAGGACTTGGGGAAATCTGGAAGGTTTTTGTCAGTAAAGTTTGAGGATACCAATTTTATCTTTTATACGTATAGAAACTGTATGCATATATTCTGGGATATTATAGGAGTCAATATTTACATCATAGTGATTAAGTACATATATAATTTTCAAAATCTACCTTAGATTTTTTTTTAATTTCTTTTACTTTGTTTCTCTAATTTCAGAAAGCAAATCAAAAAAAATAGAAAAAAACCTCCATTTTGTTTTTTTGTTTTTGTTTTTTCATTTATTCCAAATTTCACCCTAAATGAATTAAACTCTCAACCTACCAGCTAAGATTCCAAAAGAAATTGGGAGGGGGTGAATCTTTAACATTAGGCCAAGTAACAGTTAGACTTAGCAACTGAGAAATATAAGCTGCGCTTTGAAAGAATTTCTTTTAATCTTCCTAACATTATGAGCGTCTCCTTTTCTACTATACAGAAGGAATGCCGTAAATGGCATTTTCTGACGCCTTGGTACTAAATTCATTTAAAAAAAAATACACAGTATTCATACTGCATGCTTGAGCTGCAAAGAATAGGATTACAATATGATGTGACTTGTCAGCAAATTTGACAAGCACTGGGGCTGGCACCAGGAAGAACCTAACTCCCTTCAACTCCCAGTCATGTGGAAGTACAGATCATATCGCTTTATAATCTACAAAACACTGCCACATTACATATGCTATTGCATAATCCAAGCATATTCACTCAGAAAAATATCAAATATTTTATTAAACTGTAATTCCCATTTAGTAAGTTTATCATCAATTCCTTCTCTTTCTAGGAGATTCCAACAATTCTAATAATAAATCTTATATATTTTAAATAATGCTCAATGATTTATAAAACTACTGCAAGTTATTTTCTTTGTGAGTTGGCTAGCGCAAATGCTGGTAAGCGGCTTTCCAGTAATCTTATAGAACATCTGTGTCATGTGTGTAGGGATTAACTAGCTACTGATGCCCTTCTGTTGCTGTACATGAAGTTTCAATATGAGCTCGCGAATGTCTTCCCGTTTAGTCTTGATAACCTGACGAGGAAACCATTTCTCCAAATGGATTGGAAGTTCAAAGTTAACAATAGGATCCTAAAGAGAGAAGAGAGAAAAAAAATGAAATAATTTTAGCTCCATAATCTAAACTCCAAGTTTTATAAAAACAAGAAACTAGTAATTTTAATTCTGAAAAAAATGAAATGAAGAGGCATAGCATTCCCTGACCTCAAAACATACTACACAGCAAATGGTGGTGGAAAATTTGGACTGCTACCTACAGAAAGTTGAAACAAGACCCACATCTCACACCATACACAAGAATCAACCCAAAGTAGATCAGAGACCTGAGAGTAAAGCCTAAAATCATAAAGTTCATAAGAGACAAAAAAGCTCAGAAGGCCTAGTCTATTTTATAAAGAGGCTGCCAAATACTGCCACAAATGCGCAAGTTGGAAAGGATAAAACTAAAGAATGGGAATACATTTCTGTTCTCATCAAAAACTTTTTCCAACCGAGTGAGAAGAAAACCCAGCAACTGGGGGGGATAAAATGGCAATACCATGTTAAATAAGGGTTTCCTAACAAATGTTTACAGAATACTCCTGGGCATCTTTAAGAAATAGACTGATAACCCAATTATAAAATGGGTGAAAGACTTTTCACATAGGAAGGCATTCCGATGGCCAAAAAACATACGAAGAATGCTCAAAATCACTAGTAATAAAAAAGATGCAAATAAAAACCACAAGGAGGTATCATCTCACCCTAGTAGCAGTAGCAAAGTTTAGCAGGGAAGAAGAGGATGTGAACAGATTGGAATTCTTATACACTGTTGGTGGGATTATCAAACGGTATAACCAACTCTGAAAGGCAGTTTGTCATTCCTCTAAAAGCTGAACATAAAAATTCTGTATGATCCAGCTATTACACTACTAGGAAAATTCCCCAAGGAAATTAGAACTGGGATACAAATGGAAATTTGTATACCACTGTTCATAGCAGTGTTATTCACCATTACAAGAACCTGGAAACAGCCCAAATGTCTAACCACAAGCAAATGGATTGAGAAATTGTGGTAAAGTCACACAATGGAATACTATGCACCACTCAGGAGCTAAAATTTTGAAAACTACTATATAACTTGGGACAGCCTAGAGAGCATTATGCTGAGTGAACTACATCTCAGTCTCATAAGGACAAATAGTGCATAATATCATTATTTTAACAATAGAAGAATGATTAATAAAATATTTATGGGGACCCAAGGGCAGAAGGGGTGAGAGCAGTGGGGTGAGGATGGGTAGGGGCAAAAACCACAGGGTTGCAGTTTGATGGATGGAGGGAGGGGGAGAAGTAAATAGGAAGGATCCAGGTAAAAAGACAGAGTAATAACGGGCAAGGTCCAATGGTGATTTATTTTATAAAACATAATGCATGAGAATGATTGTATGAAACACAATGTATACAAATATAATAAGTAAACCAGTATAAAACTGTTAATTTTTTAAAAAATTATATTGAAATACCACTCACATAATATACAACTCACCTATTCAAAGTATAGAATTCAAGACTGTATGACCACCACAAAAATAATTAAAGCCACTAAAAAAAATAATTAAAACATTCTCATTGGGGGAGCTCTGGTGGCCTAGTGGTAAGGAGCTGCAACTACAATCCCAGAGGCGCACGGTTCGAATCCACCAGATGCTCTGCCGGGGAAGGAGGGACAATCGCCTCCTGTACCAGTCAGATCTGATTTGACGGTACACTCACACAAAAATAAAAAAATAAAAAAAAATTCTCATTTAATTATTAATTTCTGAACATAATCATTAAGTACCAGTATTCTGCCCTGATGTATGCTTGAATACATCAGCTCAAACAGCGCTGGTAACAAGGGAAAGTGTCAACATAATGCACAAATCAGGTGGTTTGAACAAACTGTTTTTGCAACATGCTATTATTTTGAAATATTATTTTATTTATTATTAAAATAATAAATGAGAAACCCTTAGTAGTATAAGAACGTCAAATAAAAAAGGAGGGAGTCCTGAAAAAAGTGTCATCTTTTAATGCAATAAATGGCTAGTTGGTTTAAGTTTCTCAGAACCACTACATTTTTCATTAGGTTAAGAAGCTAACTGGAAAATCTGCAAGCGTTAATTAAGAATAAGTGAAGATATTCTCCTCTGTGTTTAAAAATAAAGGTAAAGCAAGTTACTCCTGAATCAAATTGACATTACTCATGAAAGTTATTAGGAGACAAATGTGAGGACTTATATTTTGAACAAAGTAAGAACACTGTGTACAAAGCTAAGTGTATGAACTGACAATGATTCTATGAACAAATATTAAGAGAAATTTATTTGCATTATTATTATTTTTATTAGCATTAACAGTGTTTCATTAGGATTTTGTTAAAAAGTTTCATAGGTTTTTGATTGGTCAGCCCTAAGTCTACTTTATCCAATCAAAAATTAGTTACACTGGGATACAAATTTGAAGAAAACAGAACAGGCATGATTTTTGTTTGGTATTCTCACCAGAAATTTTACATAATGAAGTTCTGGTGGCCTAGTAAGGATTGTGCTGCCAACCCAAAGGTAAAAGGTTTGAATCCAAAAAAGATCGGTAATAGCCTCCGATGCAATTTACAACCTCTAAAACTCTGCATGAAGGTGAACTATAACTCAACAGCGCATACCACCACCACTACCTATACAGGAAATCTGGTGGCACAGTCTGTACAGACTTGTGTTGCTAGCTAACCTAAAAGACCAAGTCTTTATAGCAGTTCAAATCTACAAGCTGCTCTTGCAAAATAAAGATGGGCAATCTCATCCCATGTAATTTATTGTCTCTGAAACCCAAAGGGTCAGCTATGAGTCAATTCTGACGTGATGGCAGTGAACTGAGTGAGTGACAACCTATATTAGAAATATACTCTACTGGCTGAGGTTACATAAAGTAGAATTATGAAACAGACACAGAACACATGAGACAATAAGGTATTATGTGTCTCCCCAAAATAAAGTCAAATTTCTTGGGAAAAAATATATAAAATATTAAATTGTCAGCTTATGATAAAACTTTAATATGAAATTTTTTTCAAATGTCATCTTTACTAGTTTCCATAATATATACAATCTTCTTTTTAAACATCATCATTCTTCTATATTAAAAATGCCAAAAACTTATTAACTGTATACTGTAATCTCTACATATTCCTCAAGTAGCCTACTGATCAAAATATCCTGCTCCTACACTCATCTTCGTCAGTATACCACATCAGTGACACAGTTTTAGCATCACAGTCACCATGAGTTACCTTTGTACAGCAAATGGACAGACCAGTACTATACCACTTAGAAGAATGTTTGACCAAAAACAATTAAAACTGGCCTGAGGGCCACAGATTAAAATCACCCACCTTTCGCTTGGTAGCATAACTTTCTATCCACTAGGCCAACAGAGCTCTATGTTGTTGCTGTTGTTGTTAAGCGCCGTTGAGTAGCAGACAACTCATAGTGACCTTATGAACCAAAGACCTGAACACTTGCGTAACTTTCATATAGTTAACAGACTAGTGAACTGAAAAAATAATAACCATGCTTGCCAAGGTACTTAATCAGCTTGACCCTACTTCTTGAATATACTCCAATTACTGTCTCTGCCCCTTCTGTTTCCTTCGCCGCCACCTCCCCCAACCCCCCACAGCATACTCTATTATCTTGAAATTCTTTTTTTCCTCTCTGAGCAACAGTATGGATGTTTTATATTGTCTCATATTACTGTAATTAACTAATCTTGTATTTGGTTATGTCCAGTCTATTTAGCTCATGAAAATAATGCTTAATATCAGACATATCATTATATATTTTCAGTTCTGGGATGTTCATCATGATTCTTTTTTTTATTTTTCACACTTTTCTTACTATGCTGATAACTATAAACAAATAAATTATTCATATTGTCACATACCTTGAAGAAGCTTTCCACATATTGCAGTAAATATACTCCACAATCACTGCTATTATCTTGTTTAGGAACTTTAGGGCATAGATCCACCATGTTTGTTTTGCTAAATTCTCGATGAGTTTTTCGTTTTACTTCCCATTCTACCTCTAAATACCTGAAATCATCAATAAGGTTAGAGACTGAAATAGAAATATCTGTACTATTTACAACATTTTCACAAGGGTGGAAAATATCTGCTGCAAAATGTATTATCTCAAGCCAAATATCTAAAGGCTAAATCATAACAATACACAAGTGGTACATAAAAAAGAGTATCTGCTTTTCATAAAAGGTAGGTTTTTCCCCCAACAATTCAAATCTTTCCAACTAAATGTTTTAACATCAATTTTAACAAAAAGTAAACCAGTAAGTTATTTTATAACTTTCATTACTACATTGTTCTATGCCACAGTAAACTGCAAAATGTGTAAGATTTTAAAGTTGAGTTCTTATGCCCTTTCTTTGTTTCTTTGCAAATCTGGAGATTTGCCCATTTTAAGAGTCTCTTTCTGAGATGTATTTTTTTTCTAATAAACTATCTTTGCTCTAACATTTAAAAAAAATAAATAAATAAACTTGAATTATACCAGCAGCTGTGAGGGGGAAGGATGAGCAATCACCTTCCTACAGCCTCCCAAAACCTGCTGTAAGGTCAGCTGTGAGTCAGTCTGACTTGATAGCAAGGATATACACTATCTAAAGTGGAATGAAAATGCATATAAAGACATTATAAGGTAGATTAGTTTTCTTAAATAATTTCATTCTCTCTTTAAATGTTGTTGCTGTTGTTAGATGCCATCAAGTCGCATATGACTCATAGGAACCCTATGAACAGCTGACCCTGCCCTATCCTGTGCCATCCTCATCATTTCTAACACATGAGAGTCCATGCCCATTGCTGAAGTCACTATGTCAATCCATCTCACTGGAAGTCATCCTCTCTTCCACTGACCCACACCCATCTCTTTAAGTATGATGTCCCTTTTTAAGGAATAGCCTCCCACAGTGACATGTCCAAAGTATGTGAACTAATGCTTTGTCATCTTTGCCTCCAAGGAACACTCTGGCTGCACTTTTTCCAAGACATATCTGCTTGTTCTTTTTTAAGTCCACGGGGTATTCAGCACTCTCCTCCAGCACAACTCAAAGACATCAATTCTGTCATCCCTATTCATTGTCCAGCTCTCTGATGCACAGCAAATGGCTGAAAAGACCATTTCCTGATCAGGTGATTCTTGGGCTTCAAAATGACACTGTTGCTCTTCAGCATTTTTTAGAGATTCCTGAAAACAGACTTACCCAATGCAATATATCTCCTCTGATTTCCTAACTCCTGGTACCTAGAATGTTGACTGTTGGTCTAAGCAAGGTAAAATCATGGACAGCTTCAATACTTTCTTCCTCTAGAAGAACGCTGACTATTGGACCTTTGGTGATGATCTTTGTTTTCTTGATATTAAGATATAATACATACCAAAAGTAAGTAACCCATACTTTGATATTCGGAAGCAAGCATTTCATATCCTCTCACTTTCAGCAAGCAAGGTTGTGTCATCAACATACTGAACGTTATGATGAATCTTCCTCCAATCCCGATGCCACATTCTTCATAGAGTCCAGCTTCTTAAAGAATCTGCTCCACGTGCTAACATCAATAGCATACTATTAAGCAAGTCTCAGGTCACTGTGATCCCAAATGGTTAACCAGCTACATAAGTCCATACTTTGTATTTATAGCTCCACCTGTGGCTCAGTTCCCCAATTTCTCTATGGCCTGTGGATTCAATGACTTGTTAGAAGGTCCTCCAGAGACTTAAACCTTTCAGGGGAACAACTCATATAACTTGTAGGTATGCAGGCTGGGCTTTTTGTAGAAACTGGTGAGCAATGGACAGGCTGGATGGAGCAGGATGCTTAAACACAACTGTGCTTCCACTTCTGTGTTGGTTTTCACACACACACCCCAGGGTAGGGTGAGGAGTGCTCTCTTCATACTAATCCTCTAACTACTGCTGATTTGCAAGACTACGCTGATTTGTGAGAGCATGTGTCTGCAATTATGGTAGTTACAGACGGGGGAGAGAGGGAAGCTACAGTTTTGTCTTTAAAAAGTCAAATTTAGGCTAAAACTGCAGCACTATCACCTGGCTTTTCTACTCATTATTTCTCCTTATCTAAATGATTAGTCTTCCCCTTACCATTATCTATATTTAGGGAAATATATAAGTCAGTTGCTTTTCTCCATAAGTCTTAATGCTTCCATTTTAGAAAGCCTATTTTTAATTTTCCCAGTTTTATCAAACCAGTACTCGGAGGAAACAAGCATGTCTTCTTCTCCAAAGACTTTCATTACAGTTGAATTCATGTCTATAAACAACAAACATCTATAAACAGCAAACCACCAGGTCATAGCAACCAACACAAGCTCCTAGAACAAAACATCTTCTCTTTGTCTGTTTGGGTTCTGGTCAACATATCCCCAGACACCTGGGAATAGGACCAAATGAGCATCAGATGCAAACTCAAGAGTCTACTCTTCTTCCTGTGCTTCAGATGAGTTGGACCCTCACTAAACCTCAGCGCCATATGGGCCAAGTCAACACACCAGGGATCCTCAGTACTCTCTATTCCACAAACCAGCAACTCTTCATTTATCCATTCATCATACCAGGTGGACAGTGCTAAAGGAACAACTCCAAATTTAGCCTGTCTCTTCATTACTGTGTATCTACCACTTCCACTCAACAAGGAGACGCAGGAGGTCACCACACATTCAACATACTCACCAGTCTCCTTCAACTTTACAGTCCTGGAAAGGGAGTTTTCACAGACCCTCCTTCCTTTTATCAAGTAGATTAAGGTGGTCTTTACCTTACTTAAGTTTCATTGCAAAAGTCTCTCTCTCTCTTTCTCTGCTTGTCTGCTTTCAAATTTAACTCTCCTCAGAGTACTGGGTGGTACTTAATCTTTCTTAGGCTAAATTCTACATTCTATACCAAAATCTGCTACCATAAGCATTTGTTTATGGAAAATTTTCCCTTTTTTAATACCAAATTAATATCCAACTGTCTTACATTTTTCCTCTAATTAAAATATGACCCATCACAAAACTCTGATCATTTTTAAAATATATCTCAACATAACATTATGAAATATAAAGAAGAAAAAAGGATCATCCACTGACTTCAAAGAAATTCTCAGATTCATCTTCTTATGCTTTTGTCTCAGGCCATAAAGCAGCCTCTCACCTTTTCTACCCACCTTAGCAACTAGGTTTTCTCATCCACTTTACAGAAATAAACAATAACCATCTCAACTGTACCTCCTCCCAAGCCCCACATTTATAAAACCAAACCATGTTTCTGTGGATGTGAAATAAAGAATCCCACTCTTTGTGACACCAACTGTCTTTATTAAACTATGAAATAAGATCAACATTTATGGGACTAGGCAAACGAGAGAGTGCTTCCCACACTGAGCAGATAGACTTGAGGGAGACTGGAGGAAGACCCTTGTAAGAGTGAGACCACGGTGGCAAGACGCTGGTGATGGTGGTGGGAACACTGCTGCATTGCTGTGGAGAAACTGTTTTGCTCTATTTGGACCAGAGCATCTTGATCTAGGTATACATTTATACTGACCACAACGAAGTGTTCTGGGATATCCATTCTTCTCAATGTTAGCCATAAGTTGTTAGGATTCAAAGAGTCAAATGTTTTTGCATAATCAAGAAAACAAAAATAGACATTCTTCTAGTATTCTCTGCTTTCAACCAAGATCCATCTGACATCAACAATGATATCAGGGCGGTGCCACGGCCTCTTCAAAACCCAGCTTGAACTTCTGGCAGTTCCCTATAAATGTACCTTCTAGCTGTTATGGATGCTCATCAGCAATATTTTACGTTTGCATGATATTATTCATAAATTTATACATTCTTTTGGAATGCCTTTCTTGAGAATGGAGACAAATATGGGTCTCTTCCAGTCAGTCAGCCAAACAGCTATCCTAAAAATATCCTGGCATAAATTTGTGAGCACATACAGGATTGCATCCATTAGCTGAAACATGTCAGTTGGTATTCCATTGATTGCTGGGGCCTTATTTTCTACTAGTTAATTCAGTGCACCTTGAACTTCATCCATCCTCCCAATGTGGAGCTTACGATTTTTTTTGCTTGTTAAGTGGCTTGTAAAGTAATGGAACTGGTCTCCCTCTATTCTGGGTTTCTAAAAGATGATCTCTAAACCACAGTCATATTTTGTTTACAAGCTAGTACTACCTTTGTCTGGAGGACTTAAGGCAACAGAACAGTAACAACATGATTTTGGGTAGAAATTTTGAGCAATGCCAACAATAAAGTAAGATTTTTAATTAATTCAGTATTACCTTGAACTTCTAAGAATGTGAACAGTGAGGTAAGACATGTGGACAAACAACAATGATTATTCTTTGGACTCAAGGGAAAAACCATAACAAACCTCTGAGCAACAATGCTTAAGGTTCAAATGAGTTTCTATAGTTAGCAATAATCTATGCATACTATAATAGAAAAGTAATAGCGGGCTGACTCCAAGAGAGGGGGACAACTGAAAGACTCAAGTATGTCATTTTCCTGGATTCTACTTTGTTATTCTTCCCTTGCACAACTGTTTTAGTTATAAGAAAGCTTATCCTTTAGCAGTAATAAACTTTATCCATTAGTCAACACACTCCACCAAGTTCTATGAGTCCCACTAAATGATTAAACATAAGGGTGAGCTGCAGAACCCTTTGAAATTGCATTAGATGTTAGAAGGCTTGCAGACTATATACCTTTGAACCTTGCAGATCTTTTTTATAGTATTTGCAATGCTTCTTTATAGAATTATGCTCTTCAATGACAAATATAAATACAAATTCATTAATTTCATATAATCCACGAGAAAGAAGAGCTTATATGTACATTACAGATTCATTTATTATTGATTAGATTAGCAGAACACACATAAATAATTATAATTTCTGATGTATCTTAGTAATTTTTAAGATAGTTCAAAATTATTGAAACATTAGATAAAAAACCTAAGGGTAAAACTACTTACTCTCGTAAATTCTGAACTGTATTTTGTATAGAAGCAGCTTTCAAGGAGTCAAGTATGAGAATACAGGGCCTATAAAATAATAAAAAAAATTTAAATAAATCAAGATGTACAGATATATATATACCTAAAATGTGTGAAAAAAAAATATGACCACAATGTATGACCTACCTTTTACAAATTTTCTTTGGTACTGACATAGTCTTCTCTGTACTCTGAAATAAAATTGAGATTTAGGACTTTACAAGTAAAACTAGTCTGAATACATAAAAATTCAGCAACTCCTTAAAAAATGTTTATATGCTTCAAATTAATATTTCAAGCTAGAGTGAATTATCTTCAGTAGGCTTACTTAATTTTTAAAAAGTTAATTATATATTATATTGGTAAAATAGTACATTATATGATTTTACATGCATCTTCAAGGAGTATAAAAAAATTTAACAAGGTCTTAAAAAACAATCAAGAGCTTTCTTTTTAATCCAAGTTTGTCTGTAACTCAGTTTATGTTAACAGTAAAGATACATTTCTCCACTTTGAGAACTATCTCCTTCTCTCTCTCCAATTGCCAGCAAGTCACTTCTGACTCATCACTGATCCTCCAGCAGGTTTCCATGGCTGTAAATCCTCCACACAGGAGGAAAGTGTCCATGGTAGATGTGAACCACCAGAAAAGTGTAGCTTTTGGGTTGGCAGTTCAATTTTACAGTTCAAATTTACTAAAGAGTACTCTTGAAGTACTAGAAGCAGAGTATTAATCTGTACTAAGGGAAACTGCCAGAAGTGCAGGCTGGGTTTAGAAGAGTCCATAGTACTAGGAACATTACAACTGATGTTAGATGGATCTGTCTAAAAGCAGCGAGTACCAGAGGAATGTCTATCTGTGCTTCATTGACTATGCAAAGGCATTTGACTGTGTGGACCATAACAAACTGTGGACAACTCTGAGAAGAATTGGAATCCCAGGACACTTGATTGTGCTTATGTAAAAATCTATACTTGGACCAGGAGGCAGTCGTCAGAACAGAGCAAGGAAACACTGCATGACTCAAAATCGGGAAGGGTATACGCCAGGGATATGTCCTCTCTCCATACCTTTTAAATTTACATGCAGAATAGATCATCCTGGAGGCTGGGCTCTAAGAGGAGAAATGTGGCATCAGGATTGGAGGAACATTCATCAACAATCTGCATTATGCAGATGACACAACCATGCTTGCTGAAACTGAGGAGGACCTGAAGCACCTGTTTGCAGAGGGTCGAAGACTGCAGCCTTCAATATAAAGTTCAACATCAAGAAAACAAAAATTCTCACCAAAGGGCTGACTGGCAGAATTCTTGTAGACGGTGAAGAGCTTGAGATTGTCAACAGCTTTAGTTTGCTTGGCTCCACAATCAATTCTCTTGGTACAAGAAGCCAGGAAATCAAAGACGAATTGCACTGGGAAATTCTGCTGTCAGGGACCTTTCCAGAGTACTAAAGAGCAACTGTGTGAGGCTGGAGACTAAAGTGCACCTGATCTAGGCCACAGTCTTCGCAATTACTTGCTATGCTTCAGAAAGCTGGACAATGACTTGGGATAATAAAAAGAAAAATAATGCCCTTGAGTTGTGGTGCTGGAGAAGAGTATTGGCTATATCATGAACTGCCAGGAGAACAAACAGGTTCATCCTAGAGAGGGTGAAACCAGGCTGCTTCTTGGAGGCAAGGATTCCAAAGCTTTCTTTGCCATACTTTGGGTATGTTGCAGGAAGGGACTAATCGTTAGAAAGGGACATCATCCTTGGAAGGGTGGAGGGACAACCCAAAAGAGGAAGGCCCTCAATGAGACAGATTGATACAATGACTGGGATAATGAGTAAGTGTTTCAGAAACCGTAAGGTCAGCACAGAATAGAGGGTTCATAGCTGTTGTATAAAGGGTCACTAGGAGTTGCAAGCAACTTGATGGCACATAACACAACAATGGAAACAAAACAGAGGGTTATTATTTTTAATGTTCGTTTCTTCTGTTGAAATGAATTTACATAACAAATAATCAGTCAAAAATAAATAGGTTTCTTCAATGTAGGTCTTCTTAATACTTTATTATTCCAACATGTACAATCATATTCTAAGACAGTAATAGTGTACAGGTTTTACCCAATTTAACTGATATTCAATTCCTTTTATCATAAATGAGTATTCCAAGGAACTCAATTGGGAAATCTAGCCCTAGAAGCAGGAAGCCACCTTGGTTATGAGGACAAGGGAAATTACCTTTTTCTTCCTGCCCATCCTAAAATACTGATAGTAAAGACAGACACCTATGTTAGACAGGCTGCTGCTAAAATTATTCACTAAAAAAATTCATTTGGTAAAGACTCCCATCAATAAGGACACTGAATGTGAACTGTACATGCTAGCTGGAAGCCTATAGAAAGAAAAAATTTAACTCTATTTAACTTCAGAAGTAACTGAATTTGACCATGAATTATTTTTTTTTACAACTTCTATCAGAAAGTTGTTGTTGTTGTTATGTACCATAAAGTCACCTACAACTCACAGCAACCCTATTCACAATAACTTTTAACCTTGTCCTGTCCTGAGCCTGTCTGTCTCTGACACACTTAGCCCCCATTATCTCAGATACTATTGTCAATCCATCTCATTCTAGGTCTTCCTCTATTACTATCCCCCTCTATCCTTCCAAGCATGATATCCTTCTCCAAGGACTGGTCCCTCCGGCAACATGCCCTAAGTATGTGAGATGGAGCTTCAAAATCCTTGGCTCCAATGAGCTATTTGGCTTCACCCTCTCTAGGACAGATCTGGGTTTTTTGTGGTTTGTTGGGGTTTTTTTTTGTCCATGGTATGTTCAATATACTTCTCCAGCACTAAAACTCAAAGGCATTGTTCTTCTGTCATAGTCCAGTTTTCTGATGCAAAGCAAGTAACTGTGAAGACCAAGACCTAAATCTTAAGTCTCTAACATCATTGTTCTTTAGCACTTTCCAGAGTTCCATGACAGCAGACTTTCCCAATGTAATTCATCTTTTAATTTCCTGACTGCTATTGCTAATTGTGGAACCAAGCAAGCTGAACCTGTTAATAATCTCAATATCTTCTTCAACTATCACGGTACTGCCAATTGGCCCAGTGCAGAGAATCTTTGTTTTCTTGATGTTAAGCTTTAGTCTATAGTGGAGACTGTGTTCCTTGACCTTCTGCAACAAATGCTTCAGGTCCTCTTCAGTTTCGGCAAACAGGTTGTGCCACCAGCATAGCTCAAGTATTGATAAGTCTTCTGCAATCTTGATGTAATGTTCCTCCTGATGGAGCCCAGCTTCCTCAAGGATCTGTTCTACATACATATCAAAAAGATATGGAGAAAGAATGCATCCCTGATGCACTTCTTTCTTGAATTTTTTAACCATACAGTGTTTCCTTGCTCTGTTCTGAGAACTGTTTCCTGATCTAAGTATAGGTTTCTCATAAGCAAAATAAAGTGTTCTGGAATTCCCTTTCTTCTAAAGGTTGGCCAAAATCTGTTATAATCCAGAGTCAAAAGACTTTGCATAGTCAATAAAACACAGATAGACACATTCCTCTGGTATTTCTGCTTTCAGCCATAATCCAACATTGGCTATGATGTCCTTAGTATCACAGCCTCTCCTAAACCCATCTTGTACATCTAGTAGTTCTCTGTCAATGTACTGTTCCAGTTGTATTTTTATATTCTTCAACAGGATTTTGCTTGCATGTGTTATTAGTGATACTGTTCAATAATATCCAGACTCTGTTAGGTCATCTTTTTTGGGAATGAGAATAAACATGGATCTCTATCAGTCAGTTGGCCAGGTTATTCTCAGATTGCTTCGCACAGCCTGGTTTCAGAAAGTAGTCCTGTTGTTGTTATGAGCTGTCAAGTCACTTGCGACTCATAGCAACACCATGTACAACAGCCCTAAATCATGCTCTATATCCTGTGCCAATTTTACTGTCTCCAACAAACCTATCCTCATTACCCCAAGTCACTGAATTTATCCATCTCATCAAGGGTCTTCCTCTCCTGCACTGTCCCTTCACTTTTCCAAACATGACATCACTCTCCAAGGACTGGTCTCACCTTGCAACATGTAAAAAGTGTGTTAGATGCAGTTCAGAATCCTCGCCTCCAAGGAACAGCTGGTTTAACCCTCTCCAAGACGAACCTGTTTGTTCTCTTAACAGTCTATGGTATTTTCAATATTGTTCTCCAGCACCACAGCTCAAAGAAAGGCTCATTTTATCATCCCAAGTCACTGTCCAGCTCTCTGATGCGTAACAAGTGAATGCAAAGACCATGGCATGTATCAGGCGCACCTTAGTTTCCAGAGTGACATTCTTCCTTTTCAGTACTTTGAGAGAGGTCTCTGACAACAGACTTTCCCAATGTAATGTTGTTGTTGTTGTTGTTGTTATGTGCCATCGAGTCGCCTGCGACTCATAGCAACCCTATGTACAACAGCCCTAAACTCCGCTCTGTCCTGTGCCAATCGCACTGTCTCTGACACTCCCATCCCAATTATCCCAATCACTGAATCAATCCACCTCATAGAGGGCCTTCCTCTCCTGCGCCGTCCCTCCACCCTCCCAAGCATGATGTCCCTCTCTAAGGACTGGTCTCTCCTCACAACATGTCCTAAGTATGTTAGACGGAGCCTCAGAATCCTTGCCTCCAAGGAGCCACCCGGTTTAACCCTTTCCAGGACAATACATCTTTTAATTTCCTGGATGCTGGTGCCAAGAGTGATGATTGTGGAGCCAAGCAAATTAAAGTTGTTTAAAATCTCAAGCTCTTCATCATCCATCATGATGCTGCCGGCCAATCGGCCCAGTGGTGAGAATCTTTGTTTTCTTGATATTGAGTTTCAATCCATATTGAACGCTGCAATCCTCAACTCCATATTGAAGGCTGCAATCCTCAACCTTCTGCAGCAAGCGCTTGAGGTCCTCCTCAGTTTCAGCAGTGTTGGGTCATCTGCGTAACACAGATTGCTAATGAGTTTTCCTCCATTCCTCATGTCACATTTCTCCTCATAAAGCCCAGTCTCCTGGATAATCTGTTGTACTGTATATAAAATACACTTGCAAAAACTAGTAAAGAGCCCTGGTAAAACAGGGCTAAAATGCTGGGAGGCTAACAAAAATGTCAGCAGTTCAAGTTTACCAGGCACTTCATAAGAGAAAAAATGGGTAGTCTCTTTCCACGAAGATTTACAGGCTCTGAAAACTGGTGAAAGGTCATCATGGACTCTGAAACAGGCTCTCAAACAGTGACATTGTGTTTGGTTTATAAATTTATTAAATAACACCAAGTCCAAAAAGTAACTCACATAATTGAATAAAAGTAAATTGATCATTAAAAATCAAAAAGTACTGAATAGATAAAATACCAATTAAATAAACCAATTTAAGACGTTAACAAGTTAAACACTTGTACTCTTTCCCATTCCTAAAAACTCTGACAAAGAATCATAAAACATGATTTGATTACAAGCAATCAATATTGCCAAAAGCATCAGGATGGATGGCGAAGAGATTGAGTTCACAGCTTCAGTTTGCTCGGCTTCACGGTCAACACTCTAGGCACCAGTAGCCAGGAAATCAAGAAACGTATTGCGATGGGAAAGTCTGCGGTTAGGGACCTCTCTAAAGTACTCAAGAGCAACAGTATCTCTCTGGAGATTAAGGTACACCTGATACAGGCCATGGATTTTGCAATCACTTGTTATGCATCAGAGAGTTGGAAAATGACTAGGGAGGATAGAAGGAGAATTGACGCCTTTGAGCTGTGGTGCTGGAGAAGAGTACTGAATGTACCACGGACTGCCAAGAAAACAAACAGATTCATCCTAGAGAGGGTTAAACCAGGCTGCTCCTTGGAGGCAAGGATTCTGGGGCTTCGCTTGACATACTTTGGACATGTTGTAAGGAGAGACAGGTCTTTAGAGAGGGACATCATGCTGGGTAGAGTAGAGGGACAGTGCAGGAGGGGAAGACCCTCTATGAGGTGGACTGATTCAGTGACTGGGGTAATCGGGATAGGTATGTCAGAGGCAATGAGATTGGCATGGGATAGAGCACGGTTTAGGGCTGTTGTACATAGGGTCGCTATGAGTCGCAAATGACTCAACGGCACATAACAACAACAACAACATAACTAACTATAACATACTTTTAATTACTATAATATATTTATTCATTTTCCTTGCTTTACATCTCTAAAGAGCACAACTTACTTGGGAATCTTCTGCAATCACAGGTAGTGTTGTAGTAGAATGCAGATCATTTTCTAGATAGAAATAATGAAGTTATTATGAATTTTTAAAGTACGTAAGTACATATAATATAGATAGTTGAGATAAGCACTAAAATGTAATCTGGATGCACAATATAATTTAAAATATGTGTACATCTGAGATTTATTTACATTTTTTTCATTATTACAAATAAAATTAAATCAAAATATTATTTGGCAATTGTAAGACTACACATAAACTCTAATGTCAAGTTCTAAAATACTGATAAACTGAGACAATTTGCTATAAAAGATAACCTCCAGAGAAAGCTTACTAAATATACTTGCTCCTTGGACTATCAAATTGTGAACAGAACTTTTCAGAGGCAGCAAGGATGCATGAACTTCCAAACTTCTGTCCTAAAATAGCTTTATAAACCTCAAACCCAAACTAATCTCCTTAAAGACTTCTTTAAACAAGAAATAGCCTACTGTAGATTGTCAAGTACATCTAATGTGAATATTGTACTCTTTTTAAAAAGACTCATTTATGTAATATCAAACGTCTATAGGTAACCCAAAATGTTGGATGTGAAGCTTGTTCTACCAGTTTAAGACAATGGTGGTAGAAAAGTGTGGAAAAGAATATTAAGAATAATAACATAACTTCAAAAATGCAGCTGAATGTTGTAGAATTGTACATGTACAAATTGGTGAAATTGCATCTTTATGTACACTCTCCTATTTTTTTTTTTTAAAAAAAACCCCAGTACACTGCTGTTTTAATGAGGTGAATTGCTCATTTACTTAAGTGTTTGGGTCTTTGTTGTTTATAAAAATAATTCTGAACAAGTATACTTTTGACGCTTAGAAGAATTAGAAGAACAAGAAATAGTAAGTTGCTTTATTATTATTTTTCTTTTCCCTTCCTAGGTTTGGGCTAATACTGCAGTCAGAGTGGTCCTTAGAAGCACGGATAGTGACGTTTCCTCTCACATACTTTGGGCACGTTGCTAGAAGGGTCTAGTCCATGTAAAGGAACGTCATGGTAACACAGGTAGAAGGTCATAAAAAGAGAGGCAGATCCTCAACAAGATGAACTGAAACACTGGGATAGGGTTCAGATCTGTTGTTCACCAAGAGTCTTAACAACAATGGTAATGACCTAGTCAATCTATATGCTGAATAAATAATTCAAGAAACTGGACTATATAATGAAGATTATGGCATCAAAATTAGAGGAGGACTCATCAACAATCCACATCATGCAGATGACAACAATCTTGCCTACAAAAAAATGAATACTTGAAGCACTTACAGCAGAAGATCAAGGACTATAGCTTTCAATATACATCTCAACATCAGGAAAAGAAAAGCTGTACCACTGGACCAATAGGCAAAATCTTAATAGATGGAGAAAAGACTAAAAGTTGTCAATAAGTGATCCAAAATCAACAACCATGGTAACAGCAGTCAAGAAATCAAAAGACATGTTTAATTGAGAAAGCTGCTATTAATGACCTTGATACAATGCTAAAGAGCAAGGATACCAGTTTAAAAACTAAGATGTACCAGAAGCAAGCTACAGTATTTTCAACAGTTTCCAATACATCTGAAAATAGGATAAAAAAAATAACAAAAACTGAAAAACTGATGTCTCTAAACTTCAGAACTGGAGGATGGTATTGACTATACCATGAACTTACAAAAGAACAAAGAAATTTGTCCTGGAGGTAGTACAAAGAGAGTTCTCCTAGACAAGAATATTGAATCTTGTTTCACATACTGCAGGCATGTTGTCAGGAGAGGTGAATCCCTGGAAAAAGACATTAATTATGCTGGGAAAGGTTCACATAAGAGAGGAAGACCCTCAATGAAATGAGATGAATTGACAAAATGAGCTTAAGTATGTCAGAAGAACTGGTGATGATGCAGAATTGGAAAGGGTCCAACCTGTTGTTCATGGAGTCATTGTTAAATACAGTGGACAACAATGTAGTAATGGCTGCTATTAATTCTACTTGCAACTTGGGCAATGAAACACATATATCATTCTGATCACTTTTTCCAAAGTTAAGCTTATTTATTGAAAATAAAACATGGAAAAGTTAAAGAATTGTAAGAAACTCCTTTTGAAACTAGAAGAGCTATTATTTAACCGAAATATGTTAGTATTTTCATGTGAATATCCCATGGACAGCCAAATGAACAAGTATGTCTTAAAGAAAGTGAAGCGAGAGTGCTCCTTGGAGGCAAAGATGAAAAAGCTACATCTCACATACTCACATACTTTGGGCTATTCAGGAGAGGCTACTCCCTGGAAATTATCATGCTTAGAAAGGAGGAGCATCATTGAAAGAGAGGAAGACTTTCAATCAGGTGGACTGACACAGCAATTGCTGCAATGGGCCCTAGTGTGTCAGAGACTGTGAGGATAGCACAGGATAAGAGAGGGTTCAGATCTGTTGTTCATAGGATCGCTATAGGTTGTACTCGGACTTGACGGCTGTGACAACAAACGTTAATTTATATTTAAAAATGAGATAATTCTCTAGCTCTGTCTGAAGATCTATAAAGTCTTAACCATTTAATTAGGCTACGCTCTAAAAACTATTATGATAGAAGCTAATTAACAGTATCGCATAATTCTATTTTGTTTGTATAAGAGAATAAATATTTATCATGGTATTTTCTAATTTCTTTCTGATACTAAGTTTAATGTTAATATATTCTCAAACTAGTGTCTAACAATCTATCAGCCTCTATAACCATGAATTCCTGTAATCATCATAATACTTAAAAGCATCATTCTACAGTAAGCATGTCACCTATTGTTTTGTTGTACTGTTGGGATTGCTGAGCCTGGGGTTGCTGGGACTCAGTTTGGGGTAAATCTTCATACACAGCTTCTTCTAACCATGGAAAGCAAATGACTGCAAGATACCAGTGAGACCTGTTGGAAAAGAAAAATCATCTTAAGGTACAAATCTAAACCATGCCGAATACATTGTGTAGCTATGTGCTATGTTGCAGGAAGTGAGAATGACTTTCACTTCATACCAATCTTGAAGAAGACTATTTTAATACCTGATACACAAAAATACACATTCCAAATTAAGGTGACCAAAGCATAAATAAGACCAACTAGGGTAAAATTCAAACTCTGTTACTTTCATAGTGGCAGTTTCCTATAAAGGATATGCTTTAATAAACAGACCTAACAGACTCATCAGCACCACCTTGTTAAAATGAATACTTATCATATTTGTTCTCTTAAACATATGTGAAGTCAAATTATAATCTGCTGATATTTTATTTCACAAATATTTTCTTAAGTACAAAAGACTAAAAAAAATCTCAGTATTTTAGCTGTGGTTTCACTTTTCCCCCCCTCAAGATATTTACAAAATAATTATAGCAAATCACAATCCATGATATGTATGTAGCTCATTGTTTTAGCGACACTTTACAAAGGGGGAAAAAAGGGAAGTAATACCAGGAATTGATGTACTCGTACTTTTTATTAACAACAAAAATTCATTTTTATTGGGCTTATGTCAATTTTAATTTTAAGTAATATTAAAGTACTCACGCTTCATTTACAGGCACAAAGATGTAATCCTTATTAAAGATGTTTATGTGACGAGTCCATGTTCTTACTCTCTTATGTCTTCTCTGGGCCATTCTAGGAATATGAAAGAACTGATATATAAGAAACTGAAATGTAAAATAAGACACTAAAGAGTCATTCTTAACATTATGGAAAATGCTGTATTTAGTTTACTCAACCATTTTTCCCTAAAACAAATGTCAACACACGAAAAAAGTTATTAACTTCAAATTGTTCTTAAAATTGATCAACATTTAAAAACAGTACAGAAACAGGAAAAAAGTATTAATTTATAAAATGCTTTGTGGATTCCATACCTCAGTAACTGAGCGTATAAATAAAAACTTATCTATTATCCTGATTAGTCTATTTGAACGTGATATAAACTATTATCACTGAAATTATCTGTGGGGAAAAAAGAAAATTAAAAAAAAATTTAAAAAAATTATCTGTGGAAATGACAGTGTAAAATTTAATAGTGGAAGAAGTACGTTCCTAGACTTTTAAAGGTAAAAATTCATTTCCCCTCATTTCATATATAAGGAAACTATAGGTTAATTAAATATACCCACTATTGGGGAGCTGGTGAGGAGTTGCACTGCCATCGCAAAGACATACACTTGAAACCCACCAGCTGCTCTGTGGAGAAAGATGTTCAATCACCTCCTATTTGATTAAAATGCCTCTAAAAACCCGCTGGAGGGTCAATTATGGGTCAGTTCCAACTTGACAGTACACAACAACACCACACCCATTATTTCTGCATATTTCCTTTTACTCTTTCAATAAATATGTAGTAAGTCTGTAAGAACCAATTTAAAAAACATAAATACTGCCATACATTTATAACTTAATAATGGCAGGAAAAAAAATAACTAAAATGTGCTACCTACAAACAATACAAAGGACTGAGTTAAGTAAAAACATTAAGAACAGGATCACCACACCAAATCATAAAAATAATAGTTAAGA